TTTTTTGACTTAACACAGGAATCCCATGATGAAGAGTCGCCTGCAAAGTAGGCTTCAGAAGTATTCATCAAGCTATATTAATATTACTCTGCTGAAGGATAAGTTATCAAGATTAAAAAGTCGCTTTGTTTGCTATTCAAGTTCCACCAACCTCTGATTCTTCTTCTTCATGGACCATGGAATTTTCTTCTTCCATTTCCTACAAGAAATAGGCATTAAATGATAGCTATCAATATCGATGGTGATGATGATAACGTTCGCAGATAGAAATTATCAGTACATTCGCGGCCGTTTCTGTAAAAAAAGAAAAACCGTCACCCTTGAGGACCAAGGACATTGATCTTTTTCAAGACCCAGCTTGCAATTTGTTTGTAAATGTTCCCTATCATACTACAACTGATTTCAAGGAAATTATTACTTGTTCATCTGGTTGACATACCAGGCCTAGGACATCTATAACTTCAAGAAATTGKCCGTCGTTGGCTAACTTAATTTTTATACTGAATGGCCGCCAGTTACTATGTGATCTGCAATTAAAATCAACCAGCATTTTATTGACTTGTATCTGATGTTTTACTATGAATCAACACAAGAACATTCAATTACCTTTGTGTTTTTCTGCATTGGAAAGTGATTTCCTGATAAAACAAATCTTTGTTTATTTTATTTTTATTTTTTTTAGTTTTGTCTTTGTTTTAGTRTTTTTGAAGTTTTTATAATTATTTTGCATAAATGCTCTTCTTCGTGGTATTGTTTTGAATCTTCGACTTCGCTCAACGAAGAAAAAGTGGTACCAATTTTCAGCATATCCTACACACAAAAATAAATACAATAAATACAATATATAMATTAGATACACAGATTCCTATCTATATATAGATACACAGATGACGTCAAAATGTAGCGAGAACAACAGTCACGCACTCGACTGCGTCTCGTGCGTACTTTTTTGTTCTCACTACATTTTGACGTCATCTGTGTATCTATTAGAGAACACACCCACGGAAAAATGAGATCTATCTGTTTTATACAACAAACAATTAGTTTTGACGTAATCCGTGTATCTATACTTTGATAACACACGAAAGCCAACCAATCAAAACGTCTGATTTTACTGAAAAGTTGTATAAAGTTTTATAATTTAACTTCGGTTCTGGATAAACATAAGCGAGCGCCGGTGAGATGAATRCCACTCGAGCTACAACTATGAGTAAATGATGCCACGACCAGAAGCGCTACATCTGGATCCGAAAAACAAATAAAATCRTCGCCAAAAACCGTCAAAAAACAATAACAACTTAATCCCTCRATGGAAATCAATGATCGATATCTTTGGAGTTCAATTATTAAGCAAGCAATATACTTCAAGACGTAACATTGACAAATATTTCTCATGTTGGTAGGCGAAAAAAAATTGAGTCTGCCTAATAAAAATTATTCGCAAGGAAAAGCAGAATACGAGAACAAAATCAAAGCAAAGGTGAAGCAAATCGACGAATACTAGTGATCACATGATTACATTATGGCTTCATTTCTCCACATTCATTACTGATGAAATTACCCAAAACTACTAAATTTGACTTTTGTTTTAGCCACAAATATGTAAGATTTACTGTTTCTGATGGTGTTGCCATTTATTATTCTTTCTGGTAGAAAAAAAGATCTTTTAGCATGAATTCAGGCCTTTGAAACAAAACGTGGCAATGCTTTAAAACTAGACGTTTATATTTATTCGACTGCTCTATCCCAATAAAATATCTGCATGGTTTCTATTCGAAAATATTCTTACTAGTTCTTGAATGATTCAAACGATCAAAATACTACTCAAAGTTATAATACTGAGAAAAGTGCAAAGACTGTACCGTTTCTTTCTATAGAYTTTTATTGACGTTTTTGTGTGAGATGACGCGTCGGAATTCATCGCCTTGTGACAACTAAAAGTCAAAACATGCAATTCGACCGAGCATGCTAGACATAAATGTTATTCCTACCTTGGCATTTCTCGTCTGTGATTGTGTTCTCTCCGCTTATTTTTAAAATAAATAGACTGTGGCTTCTACTGGATCTTTCGTTACATTTGGTTGCGCCAACAGAGCGATTTTGTGCGGCAGTTTTCAGAAGCGACAAAACCTTTGAAAAAATAAAGAAACTTGCGTCAATCTCTGTTTGTTGTCTTAGACCGTTGGAATTCCCAGATTTATAAAAATCACTGCAAATAGACCTGTTTTTCGTTGTCAACTGGTATAACTTTTAGGTTTGTGACGGTCACTTCAGAGTCTGAGTTTGTCTTTCCGTTTCCCACCATCTTTATCTCGTATTTGAGYGAGTCGTCAGAGGCCAGCAGATCCCGTATGTTCTCGTTATAGATTTCCAAGTATCTTGCTTCCATCTTATACTGAAAAAAGACTTATTAGCAATTCCGGAGTTATGAAATGAATTGTAATTTCTGTCATATTGAGCCAATCRAAAAACTAACCAWATCRCTAAAAAGACTTTATCGACTTTAGTGTAGGTTCCAAGTTACAGATCATTTGGACAAATATTCAATTAATGAGAAGCCGTGCAATTTACAGAGAATTTTGATTTTGACCGCGTCCCCCAAAACAATACATTCTCTGTTAATTTGATGAAACTAGGAATAAATACTGTTCAGCTAGTTTTTATCCAAACGTTTTGAAACTTGGTATATTTACCAATTTTTGGTTGTCCTTTCATGTGGTGGGGTTTGTTTCGYGATTAGATCAATATTTCTTTGATTAGTGCCCAGTTCTCTGCGCAACTCCGGATGGGCTAATAGTTTACGCTATCGTAGCTTTTGATACTTCATTTAAACACAAGCATAAAAGTCAAGTAAGCGCCGTTTCACACTGTGACATAAGCAGAAGCAGAAGAATTGTACTTTTTGTATGTGTGAACCTGGAAAACAGAAGCAGAGACAGAAGAAGATGCAATTGAAAACNCCTTTTCCATTGATCTTGGTATTATTCCTCGATTAAAGTATTCACTCGCGTCTCCCTCCATAGTATAGGTCTTCCCACTCCCTAAAGTTCAAAGATTTTTTAAAATTACAATATTTATGTTTGTCATGCGTTTAGCTTATTTCCAACGACGCCATTTTTTTTGCACGTACCTGAATATGCATACCCTGTATCCGTCCAGTGCTGATTGTACCAGCTGCTCTACTTCTTGAAAAATATTTTCTTGATTAATTTTTTCGTTGAAAATTTTGTCGAAGCTAAAGTGGTACGGAACATTTTTTTTTTTGGCTCCTTTAACGTCCTAGAAGATAATGATGAATAATGATTAGCAAAATTAAAAACACTAAATGAATGAAACAAATATAGAAAGAAAGAATTGGACAACAGTGTAGACTTGAAAATGTTTTTTTTATGGCGTGAAAAATTAAACATACACAACATTTCTAACTAACATTTACCTCAGATGGTATTGATTGCTCAACGTTTACTGTACGTTGATCGTCACTGATCGAAAATTTTGCCAGCGGGCAGTCTTCTTCATCTTTAATTGGCGGCCGAAGTCGGCAGAATACTCGATAATGTTGCCCTTTAGTTCTTGAATCGTATTGTGAAGGACACGACGCTGTGTCTCTTCTTTACGAATCTTTGCATCTTTGTCATTTACAAGTTGCTGAAGATCTATGATTATTTTTGATAATTCTCTGATTTTATTGTCTTTCTGCTCACACTGAGCCGTTACAATTTGAAGATTAAGCTAAAAGGGAAAGAAATATTGGTCTGTTAATGCTCAACTGGTCTCCTCCACAGCCTATTCTTTGGTCGGGCATCCTCAGAAACATTGTAGTTWGCGAGAAATCCCACAACTTGGCTTACTAGATATTTACAGGTATCACCTCAACATTGTCTAAACGAAACTGATAACAATCACCGTTCACTATGAACAGTATCATGTCGCTGTAATGTTTCCAAGACAGATGCGCTTTAATTTCAAGATAAATGTAGTCCGCGTATCATCCGTAGAGAAAGTCGCTTGTTACTTGTTCAAGGTTCACCAACCTTCGTCGCCTCTAGTTCTGTTCTAATCCCGATTAACTCAGCGGCATTTATCTTGTCAATCCTTGACCTGAGTTCGTTTGTCTTCATCTGGAGATATTACGAGATCTGCCTCTACCTACAAGAAATAGGAATAATAATAGCTATTAATTATATCGATAGTGATGAACGTGTGAAAATAGCACTTTATTCTTATTTATAAATTATTCTGCCCTGCTTGAGTTGTTTTTCTAGATTCTTGTTGTTATTTTCCTTTATTTATAATTCAAATCATATTTTTCTTCAAAGAGTTTATCTCTTCATGAAGAGTTGTGACTCTAAGTCTTTGCAGAGCTCTTAGAATGTCGGGTTACACCTCTACTGGGTAACTTTTTAATTGTAAATAGTTTTATTTAGTAGTATATTTAGAATGTCGGGTTACTCCTTTACTGGGTGTAACTTTTTAATTGTAAATAATTTTATTATTTAGTATATTTAGAATGTCGGGGTACACCTCTACTGGGTGTAACTTTTTAATTGTAAATAAT